AATCTAACAAAGTACCAATACTATCAATGGTGATGATAATTAGAAAGTGATTAAATACGCTGTCTTTTTGTTGTTGTTGTGTGGAATTCTGACTCCCAGGCAGAATCCACCTCCCCTTCGCAAGGAACGTACAGGGTTTTCCCTACCATAGAAAGGCTTAGGCGCAGCGCCTAAGTGTTTTTGCATAGCGCTTTAAGCTGATTGAATGTAAACAGGTATTTAGGCGGAATATCAGAAAGAACGTAAAAACAACACTGACCAAAAAAAAAAAACAGAGAGGTGGCTTGATCTCAAACAGAAAGGTAAGCTGGCATCGGGAATGACCTGCCAATTAATAATCAGTGTTTGGACGAACGTTTGTGTGCTTGGTGTGTGACAGATGCTCATCGCCAAGCAAATCAAACTGCTTGGATATTTCTCCTTACCGAAACTGCTAACCTAGCTAACTTACATAGATATTCATGGACTGAATTAAGTTACGTTAGCCAGTGAAGCTAGTTAGTTGAGGTTACATAAAGATACCTCGACTGAACTAACGTTAGTATCTAATGTGGCTTGGTAGCTAAACAAAGTGAGGCTGTGTTCACACGTAACATCTTTTTCTGATGAAAACCGCTGGTCAAAGCATTTTCTCATATTAAAAAAAAAAAAAGGCTGTTCCACAATGCAGTTGAGAGCATCCCAAAAGAAGCTCAGGGTGTTTTTGAAAACACGATCTACTCCATTATGTAAAACAGGTGCTTACTGCTTTCAGCATGTTTATTCTTACTATATGTACAAGTTCAGGTATATTTTCCAGATATATTTTCATTAAATCTCAAACACGTTTTTTTAGTGAAATGAATAGACTTTTGACTATAAGTACAATAAGTGTTGCCATCTTTCTTTCACAAATATAATAAGGATAATGGTTGAAAACAACATGGGGGGAGAAAAACTTAAAATAACTTAAAATTTCCTTTGAATAATTTCAAACCCCCCCCAACCACCACCACCACTCCCTGGAACGGCACCTAAGTCCTGTGAAAACCCAGGAAAAACCCTGATGTATGTTACAGATTAGGCAAATTGATGCTGCATATTTACTGGAGTTTCTCTTGTTGTCCCGAATTACAACTCCCCGGCAGAATCCGGCTCCGCGTACATCACGTACATGCACGCTGCACTGTAATCTATTCCTAATGTCAAATGTTCTCAACAGAAGTAACAGAAATATCAGGTAAATATGCAGCACCGTATCATATGCAGGCGAAGGGGAGACGGAATTCGGCACAACACCGATCAGCACTCATACACGTTCAAACACTTTGAGCAGCAGACCAACAGTGAAAATGTCGGCCATGTGGACATCAGAAAACAATATAAAAGGATTATATTGAAAATATACTGTTATGGTTACTGTTTACTGCATATTACTGCAAAATCACTGTCTTTCAGCTGAGTTTTCACGATAATATTATCACTGCGCCTCCTTTACTCTTCTGACATGGTGGAAAGGCTCATTTTCCTGCCCTTTTATGTTTTCAGTTCTGGACGATTAAATAGTTTATTGCAATTTTTTATTGAAATGGTAAATTGCAAGCACGGGGGAAAAAAAATCAATATCATCACACAAGCCTAGTAAATACTGTTATACCTGTATGAAAGATTTATGTAAGAAAACTATCCACACAGACCATGAGGTGACTGAGGCAAACAGTGCAAAAAAAGAAAAAAAAATATATATATATATAAAACACACACAACTTTCTTTTGCAGTATCCACACTGGTTGTGCACTACAGCAAACGCTCGCTCAGTTGTTTATTCTCACCTCTGAAGTTCTTTCATTAGTCGGTCAGTGATCATGTTTATGTAACAAAGTGTGACAGAGAGAAAACCTTTGTTAAAATGTATTTGAGTTGGAGAGAAAAGCTAATGACTCCACAGTGCTGCACCGAATCTAACCATGACTATACCGGCTGCTGCAGTTTTCTAGGTGTTTAATCACATTTAAACACTCAGTGCTCGTTATTAGAATATACTGATATCTATATCCACAAAATAAAAGAGAAGCAGCTCATTCAGAAAAAGGGAAACTACTCAATGAGTCATTTCTTTATTATGTAATTGGATATGTTTTGTTTGGAGCAGCGTTTTTACAGTGATATGCCGCTACAGAATACAGAATCCTATAAAAACAGTTGTGCGCTCTATTTAAAAACATGTTAAAATGTGCCATCATGCTGGACATTGTGTACTGATCATTTTAAACTATACTGTTATTTGAGCTTTTAGCCATACTGCTCAACACTGCTGCCTTCCTGTGTGTTCCTGCTCATAAAGTCACGATTCAGAAGTCACATCTTCCTATTTCTCTTATTGTAGAAATGTATATTATGTAACCAACAGAGATGTGTCTGGGGCTAAAGGCAAGCTGTTTTTGCAAAAATAAAGACTATAAGTTACTATAAACAACTGCAACCAACTTGACAACAGGGTAAAAGTTAGCAACAGGTCAGTAACACTGGGATCAGAATAATTTCTCCATCTTCCATTTGAAATTACTTTTAGATCAGTCCCAAATATTTACTTTATAAATGCATATGAATTCCATATGAAGCCCCTTTAAACCAGTGCGTAAACTATCATCAAAACAGACCGGTCCCTTCACAACCCCAGCATTTTAAAACTGATCTGAAGCTGAAAAATGTCAGGCAGATCTCATTTTCAAGCAAAGCACAAAAAAGACCAATAAAAAGCACTTTAGAGTGTGAAAGTGTGTTAATGACATGTAGAGTGTGCAACATGTGGGTGAGTCAATACATTAAAGAAATAACTTCTTGATTAAATCTTATGTCATGTACTTGGAAGTCTGTCGCATAGGTATTAATCAAACATTGATTTCTAATTACATTTCACTGTAAAACTACATTATGATGAAAATAATAATGCATTAGAGGAGTCAGAAGTAGCACTTCTCATCAACTTTCCTCACACACCATAAGCAGCTAAACATGTCTAATGTTTAATTATTCTCACAGATCATAAAAAATAAACGATTCTTGTAGCTAATACCACACTTCAAGCATGGTACAATATCCACCAAAACTTTAATAAAAAAAGAAAATAGTTCAGATGAAACCCTTCATCTATTTCTTAACCAAAATATTACATGCAAGGTCTGAGCTCAAATCTAGCTACAAAGCACAGGAGCTGATAAATGTCTTTTCTGGAAACAAGCTTTAATTCCATCCATCAAAACACAGATTTGTAGGTAGAGAGATAATATATAGATTTAAACATTATATATGTAAGGATTTGTTTTCACAGCACTCCTATACCTGCTGTACAGAGAGCTAATGCTAGCTGAGCACTTCATTAGCAGGTCTATCATGGAAGGCTGAGCTAGCCTTCAGGATTTCACCACATTATACACGTCCAGTGCCATTCGGTTTGTGTCGATCAGTCACCAAGGAAAAAAAAAACAACATTCGTCGTTTGTGTTTTCTCTCATTTTTCATCATTTTAACATTTAAATGGTGGCCCAGTGGTAAGCTTTTTACTACACACTGTTTCAACAACGATACTGCAGCGTCGCAGGCCAATATATGCAATAAAATCATTTCTGATAAACCTACAACCCATGTCAAGTCTAGAGCAATGTTTCGCTTGAAGTTGTAGCATTCAGGTAACTAGCTATCAATGAGTTTCGCTACTGCAAGCTGAAGAGGAAGCTGTTAGCTAGCTAGCTCCGACAGGACTAACTAGCTCCGTTAGCCTCCAGCCACCCCAGTTGACACAACCAAGTCTGAACATCACAACAATAACAACGTTCCTCCATCCTGCAACAAAGCCGCCGATGTAGCCAGACCGCTCAAGACACATTTGGCACACCGCCTCATATAAACAAAATACACCCAAACACCACCAAGCAGTCAAGAATACCTCAATTAGAGATGATATCAATAGTAAATTTTTGGCTACGCTTTACCTTCAATTCCGCACTCTCCGCCATCTTGTTTCTCTGGCGCATGCGCGGTAGGCCCTCGGCACGTGAGCGAGCCGCGTTTCTAATAACGTTCCTCAGATTCAAAATTAGCGCCCAGTTTTTCAAATGAACCATCGGTATTCAGATAGGCCAGATCTGTGCAGCCGAATTAATGAGACTGGGTCGTTTAACGGAGTGCAGTAATACAAGAAACACCCAATTAAATAGAGGATGCGAAGAACGTAATAAAAGAACCACCAAATGAACAACACCATCATCCCTGGTGAATAAAAGCAGCTTCCAGCTGCCAAACCCAGACCAGCTGCTGGAAGTGCTGCAGGAAGGGAGGCTCCTGAATGACCACTACTAATGCTACATCGTAGATCACTTCATTCCAAGAAAATAATATCATAGTAAAGCCATTCAAAAATCTCAAATAATTTATTTATCAATTTATTCAGCAATAAAGAGGTGGAGAAATACCTTACCAGCTATTAATCACAGTCCATCAGCTGGTGACTGCCAGACTGAGCTGAACTTTTCAGCAGGGATTTCAGGTAGTTTGTGCTTATATTAGTACTTAAAATCATTTAGCTGATTCTGGCAACCACTTGCAAACAAAGACCTACTTTATTGCCAGTCGCTGCATTGCCCCTCTACACTAATTTTATAGTAATTTACTGGCAATTTGGGTTGCCAGTAAAGTACTGAAAAATTAGCAGTAAACAACTGTGAAGTATATTCACAGTAAAGTATCTTAATGTTGTATAAAGTGACACACAACCCAGTACACTTGCTCATCTAGCTGATGCAGGATATAGCTGAGTTGAAGGTTAGAGATCTTGCCCAACCATGACAGCTTGGCAGCACTGGGATTTGAACACACAACCATCTGAGCTGTGACTCAAAGCCTTAACCACTGAGCCACCACAACTACGCCATGACAACACTGCAACTAGCTTGCATTGATTCAACTATTTCTAGCACTGAATTAACGCCCCTAAAAGATTGCAATGAATCAGTGCAAGCTTGCTGTGGTAGCTCAGTGGTTACAGCTTCAAGCTGCAGTTAAGAAGGTCTTGTGTTCAACTCCCGGCCACCCCAAACTGCCTTGATTGGACCCTTGAGCAAAACTCTTTGGCTCAGCTGTATCCTGCATCAACATACTGGGTTATGTGTTACTTTATACTATGTATGATATTACAGTAAATATGTTTTACAGTTGTTTACTGTGAGTTTTACAATACTTTATTGGCAACCCAGGTTGCCAGCAAATTACTGCAAAATCTCAGGTAAATTTTTTACAGTGTAGATATTGTTCATATTTTTTTCAAGCTATCATGAAAAGCAAAAAAATAAAGGGATATTCTGGTTTTCTCACACCTTCTGCACAATTTTGGCATCTTTTAAATATATGCCTGTAAAGTAAGATACAGCAAATTTAATTCCTAAAAGGTTCTACAGGGTATGAAAGAGAACTCAAGATTGCACTGGCAACTGTTTATGCAACACAACATTACTCAAAATGTATGATATTTATTATTCATGCTAGTAAATGAAATATAGAACAGAATGCATGTAAGTCTTATAATGCTTTTTCACACAATACCTTTGTGGTTCAACATCTTTTTGAATCCAACAATTGGATACAGTCAAAACAGTGGAAACACGCTTGTATTGTTCATTTTTGTTTTTTATTTCATAAGTAATTTACCAGTTTATGTCAGCCTTGTAGCTGCTTACATCAAATTCAAGTCCAGTATGTTTAACTGAAGGACATAGCCATGACATGGTCTGTAAAGAACAAAAACAAAAAAACAAGAGGTTAAGGTACATCATATGTATTATTGTTATGTTTGTGTGTAACTATTATTATGGCGAGTATACCTTGTGTAACTCTTCTCTGAGCCAGCTCTGGATACGGTGTAGTTTGAAATGCATTGTAAATAGTACAAGGCTGCTTTTTTGCAGCCAGTTTTCCCTTTCAGAGTAAGATCATTTTCAAGGACCCCCTTATGATCACAGTGCAGGTTTAATTTTAATTCCAATATATCATATTAAATTATTCAAGCCATTGGAGCTTTTCATTCCTGAACTTTCCAGTCATTCAGATGTAGAGCTGAAACACTGTGTATCATATTAACAGCATGTCCCGATTTTATATAAAATGATGTATAATCTTTTTTAGTTATATAAATTTGTATAAAATTGCAGTTAGATTAAAAAATAGCATTCCTTGTTTTTAATTACTGAGTTATAGGTTAATCCATTTCATTTCAAGTGACCGGACAATTACAACTATAATAACTAAATAACAACCATAGGAATGTTTTGATAGTGATCTCCACCATCAATATGTGATTTTAAAAAAGGCATTACAGTGAGGGACCTCCTGGGTATTAATCACAGACCCATCGGGATCCCGACTCCACTTTGAGAACCATTTCTCTAGAATACTTACTCCAAGAATCTTCCTTTTTCTTTTTTTTTTTGGTATAACAAGTTTACAGTCAGTTTCATTCATTCATTCATTCATTCATTCATCTTCAGTAACAGCCAACTTTCAGCCAGTTGTCCAGACACTTTTAAGCACCTGTCAGGGCTGCATAGGTACTGTGGATAAAAATGAATGTGTGTGTGTGTGTGTGTGTGTGTAAAACAAAATCATCATTGGTCAGTTTTATAATCAGCTCTGTAATGTGTTGTCTAGGTTATTGCTTTCTCATTTAATTCATAGACAAATCAATGTACTAGCCTATATGTAGCAGCCATCTGAAGTCAGCTGTTTCACTTAGCTTTTGCATTGAGTGTTATAACATGTGGTTTGGAAAAGGGCTTCCATTAGATGGCGCTATGAGACCAAGTATTACAAAAGAATCCTCACTCTTTTCTAGGTTGAAAATTCACATGTTAAAGGTTTAGGATTGGATTAATCCGCTCTGTTTAATTAATAAAATGAATATTAATAATTGAACTGAATCAAATAAATGCACAGATAGGTTAGAAAGACATAAATTCAATTATTTGTGAACATCAGGATTATCTGAGAACACTGAAAGCTGATTATATTTGCTTTTGCACTGCTTTGTTAAGCAGACTAAAGGGTGGAAGGCATGTTAGTCTTCTGTTATGTGTCCCTAGATCATTGACTCTGCAATAACACAGATATAGCAAGAAAGAAAGAAAGAAAGAAAGAGAGCTGAAGCTAGTATATATATATATATATATATATATATATATATATATATATATATATATATATATATATATATATATGTGTGTGTGTGTGTGTGTGTGTGTGTGTGTATATATATATATATATATATATATATATATATATATATATATATATAAGTTTAAAGAGTGTAACAATTAGTATCTACTAATTCTTCTATGTGAATCCTCAGTTTATAAACACAGCATTATCATATAGACTACAAGTGTACCTGCAGATATATTCAGAATAGGTGAACCTATTGTGTATGAAGGACGGTGTGATATTGTGCACTGGAATCTTAGTTTTCTGCTGTATTGCATTCATGGAGTCATCTGACCATCATATATACAGTAATCTTTCAATGAAAAGCACTATTTTCCCCATGATCTGGGCTGTGGAGAATAACTGATTATTATCCATATTCATTATTAACCAGTAATCATTCTGAAAATGTGTGTACTGTATGTGTGTGAATGTAGTCCAATCAAAATTTGCAAACTATGTCTATGTCCATGTCTTAATATGTTTAATTTGCCTTTTCATACTATGAAACACTGAAATATGCCCTGTAACACACAGTTCTTGCTTCAAGATTGCTATCTACAATTCTCACAGGGAGTAATAAGACAATAATTATCATATAGTTTAACAAGATAGTTTAATACACATTTCAGTCATCAGGTTTGCCATCAGCGCTGTCTATTTAAAGTGCTTTACATCAATTTTACATTGTTTACACATGAGAACAAACAACATTGATGAACAATATGGATTAAATAAAACTGTTAAAAATACATTAATAAATTAGTGTAGGATCTAACGTAAGAAAGTGCCCTAACATTTCACCAACAGAAAGAGTATCACAATAAATAAACTATATTACATAATATATGCATTGCACAAAGCCACCTATTACAATTTTTTTTCTGAACAGATGATAATATTTTCAGTGAAACATGTCAAAGTTTCTTATTGAGCTAGATTTTATATAAATGATACAGTTCATACAATAAGCCTCTTTTTTATGTGGTAATAATTACAGTTCGAGAGCTAGGATACTACCATACACACTTGCTCATTGCAGGCCAATAACTGAGGAATTCTGTTGGTTGTGAATGTTGTTTTTATTGGTGTATCAGTGTCCCTGTCTTGAGCAGTCTTATTTGTGAAGGACAAGCTGAAGGCATCACGGTGGTAGTAGAGGAGGCTTGAATGTACAGGTCCCAGAGCAATGACGAGGGGTCAGCATCTTACACGAGAAATGATGGAGTGCGTCGTGAGCTTCTGGGAAAAAGGGTATGGATCGCTTAAAACAACAAAGTCTATGAAGATCAATCAGTGTGTGTATGTGTGTGTGTAAGAAACGAAGAGTGGAGAGAGGGTCAAAGGGGATGTAGGCCATACCCCTTATAAAATCTTGTGATATGATGCAAGCAAAATGGTCCAAGCTAAATATAAAAAGAATCTGTGATCTGAGGGCAACAGTACAGAAACTGTACTTAAGCACTTCCTTAAGCAGGACATTTTCTGTATGCCTAGCTTGGGTTTTATTATTTGCCTTTGCTAGAATCATTGATTACCTTTTAACTTCTGTTGAATAGCATAACGAGCCTTTCTTTCATGGTCCAACTCGCTGCACAATGTGTCTGAGCAGGAGAGACAAAGAATGACTCAGATATGAAAGGCCAATTATCCTACCTCATCTACTCATCTCCAGATTTAGCTATTCAGATTTATAGTCTTTTGATACTGAGACAAGTCAGCAAAAGAGATCATGACCTAGGAATTTGCGTCAGGAGATTCCTCACATTGGACACCTTCCTCACTGTAATACTAAACCAATAATTTAAAAAAAAACCCTAATAATGCCTTCTTAGGAAAACTAAGGATATTCAACACATGATAATCAAGAACAAATCACCCCCAAAATGACACATTTGAATTCCTCTCAATTCCCTGTGCTGTAGTAAATACACATTAAATATAAGTACGGAAAAGTAATTAATCAATTATTACTCAATTAATCAATGAATCATTTTTGTAAACTTGATCAAATGAACTTGGATTTTATTTGCAAAACATTGGATTTGGATTTGAATAACTGTTGGTGTTTACAGAATGAAAAAATAATAATTCCAGCCTAAAACAATTTGAAACATGACTAAAAAATGGAAAGGAAGAATGATTTTTGAATTCATTTATTAATAGTTTTTTTATTATTATTAATACAGTTTTGTTAGTATGTCTATGTCACTTTTTTGCAGGTGCAGTAAAATATTTTGGGAAAATTTTTGTGCTTGTGAGTTAAAATATTTTGGGGAATTAGGACCTCACCTCGAACAATCTGCAGCTGCTGGACCATCTCTTCTCGGTATGACAGCTCCCTTTTCATTTGGTCTTGAAAATTGTCTAGGAAGCAATCATTAAATTACAGAAATTAAAAATATTATTGTTGGCTAAATGGGACTTTATAATTAGAGAAAAATCATACTCCAGTGTGTCACTTGTTGAAAGAGCAAAACCAGTCTGAACATAAAGACTTACAAGAGGAGAAATAACTGAGCCTTAATAAATAATAGGAGGTTCAAGAGAAAACCAGTGCTTCATAATACCTTTCAGACTTTGGAATTCCCGTTCCAGCTTCTTTCTCAGCTCCACTTGTTCCACTAGTTGTTTTTGCAGCTCTTCTGTTGAAGAGAAATGTTTAACAGTTATTTCAACAGCACCCATTATTCCAAAGATGGTTATTTAAAAGCAGTTTGTAAAGCCTGTTAAGTGAAATGACCCTGGACAAATAATTAAGCACCAAACCCCAAAAATAAAAAAGCATAGAAATATGATTAAAATTTTTAATAGTTAAAAAAAATTGTTAAATAAATAAATATAT